GATTAATCAGAGTGTAGACATACTGTAATGAAACTCCCATGAAACCTTCTTTAGTACAATATTGTCAGATTATGAAGAGGAATGAGGTGCATGTTGTGTTTTGAAATCAAGGGTTAGCAACTTTCTCCATTGATGGCCATTCAAACACAGATGTGTATTCTGATTATATATACAACATATCCAAGTTAGGGTCAGTAAGATTTTTCAATGTTTTTGAAAGAAGTCCCTTATGTTCACCAGAGATGCAAATAGAAATAAATTACCAACTACCGGGGTGAGGCGAGTCGAAGACGCCCCTTGGGTGGGTGTCTTTTTTAACGGGTTGACCAGTGGCGGGGCCCCGGCAAAAAAGACCAGGGCAAAAACGACTAAGTGCGACATGCGGGGGACGGGCCAGACTTCCAGCCTCGCCTTATATTATTTGATATATTATTACAATTTAAAATAGCTTAACTATTTTCTACTTGAATGTATTTTAAAATGTTAATTATTTCTGTGATGGCAAAGATGAATTTCAGTGTCACAGTGTTCTTCAGTGTCACATGATCTTTCAAAAATAATACTAATATGATAATTCAGTTGTGCTGCTTAATATTTTTGTAGAAACTGTGATGCATTTTTTCAGGATTCTCTAGCTCCAAAAGATCCAAAAATATTTTGTAAGAATGTAAATGTGTCTACTATCACATTTGGTTAATGGAATGCATCATTGATGAATAAAATTATAATTTATTTTAAAAATAAATGAATAAAATAAGTTTGAATGGTAGTGTAAATCACAATTTTTTCATTTATTAGTGGAAATATGTTTCCCTGTCTACACAGCTGAGGACAGTCACTAGAAAAGAGCTATGGACATAGACCACGCAATAAAACAAAACCCTCCAGGCAATGGTAAGAAACTTGCCAAAGCCAAATTTACTTGCCAATTTTAAACCCTGGCTTAGGGCCACTGTCGACGGGGACATCCGGGAATGTTATCCTGGACATTGTGTCATCTGGTTGGCATTTGAAGAACATTTGTGTCCTTTATGGCACTGCCCATTTACTAGGCCCAGAG